AGGATAGAACAGAGATGACCGCAAAGCTACAATGCTCTTAACCACACCAAAAAATAAACAATGACGAGCAAAAATGGGCAACATTCTGGAATTGCAATAACATAAAGTTCTTCTTCTCGATGTTGTGGAATTCATTTATGTTTATCAATGAAGTTTAGATCAATGGTTCTCAGCCTTTTTTCATCCCTCAAAAAATTTTATGTTTTCGGGGTACGAGATCCTCGAGAATCCCAGAATAGTTGGGGATCAGGAAAGTCGGGTAGTTTGCAATCGGGGACGCTAAAAACGCGGCTGCCTGAAAAAACTTGGGGACGGGGAAGTGCGGCAGGGTCCCTAAAATTACTCGTTTTGTGCAATAAACTGCTTTTAATCGTTCTTTTGACAGTTGTTTAGTAGTGTTTTGTAATTTTCATTTGTGACATTTACTGAAGGTAATTTGCAGCTGACCAAGTACTGAGCTCAGTAAGTCAAGTATCAGTGAATCTGAATGAGGCGACAGCAACCGAAACCAAGAAGTGTGGCCGAATCCCGCACGATCTTGGCAATCCAAGTTGATTTTTGTCATTTGACTTGCAAACCAAATAATGAGCAGCTTCTTTTCCATCACGACTAAAGAATATTTCAGAGGATGAACCTTGGCTACATCCAAACGCATACAGTCTAAGTGACACAGGCGAATGGAAAGACCTGAATTTAAAATTTGTGTTGACCTGTTACAGAGATTATGAGAAAATCGTTAAGGTTTATATAGACAATGGTAAGTGAGTCAGTTAGTGATAGTTGATTTCTCATACCATGCAATAACCATTGACTGCTCACACAACTGCCCATTGAAATTCTTGAACTAATTTTTTAAAATCTCCCTGGCTATTATTCTTTTGTTAAACAAACTTACTATGAGATAAAAATATCTCCTGCGAAATTCGATTATTCCCTTTGTAATCTTTAGAATATCTGAGAATTCGGCCACGAGGAAAGCCATAAATAAGTGCTTTTATTTTGTATTGTAACAAAGTGAGATGTACCGTTGATGTGATCTTGAATTTTAGAAGAGCAGAAGGAGCGTTTGTTGAAGCGCTTCTATGATCTTTCAGTGGGTATAGTAGCTGATGGGTTAGTTTGGGATGTGGATGGTGATGATTTGATCGAGAACAGTGGATGTCCTGATCAAACTTATGATCTTTGGACTATGAGCGGAAGTAGGTAAGTGGTACATATCATAAATGATAAAATGCTTCGCAAGCGGTATTCTTTTGATCGGATCTGTTGGAAGGGAAAGTTGAAATTGATTATGAGTTGAGATAAATGTGACCTTCTGTGTCATTCAGTGCCTACTGCGGTGGTTTATGGCTGTGTGCATTGGAGTGTTTACGTCGTATGGCTTCAGCACTTGGAAGGAGTGAAGACGCGAACTATTACAACGCTAAATTGAAGAATGCTAAGAAAGCATTCAATGGAAAGTTATGGAACGGTCGATATTTTGATTTTGATGAGTATTCGGCTTGTCATAAGTCGATAATGGCCGATCAATTGTGTGGATTTTGGTTCATGAGTGTTGTGGATGGATATGTCGACGAGAGTATTATCAGCAGGGAGCAGGTTCTTACATTCGATACTTTCATATGGTCTCAGTCTGTAGATAGCAATCTGGATGACTTGAATATCTCGCAAGTTCCATTTCGAGTAGTGACCATCTGAATGGATTTGCATCTTCATGCAGTAATGGCGAAAATGAATGAAAACCATCTCTCGTCGGCTAGCGGATAAACCGTTTCAAGCAATTTTCGGAGTCGTACGAGTCGTACCGTTTAGAATGGATTTTTGCCTTGTTTTGAAATCAGCTCATTTTCATCAGCTTGTTCATGAATCAAATTAGTTTGAAAATTGAGTGCGCTAAAGATAGTAATTGTTTTTTTAATTAGATCATGATGATTTCTTTCAACTTTTCAATTTCAAAGCAATTGAACTGTTATTGTAATGCACCACTGAAGAGTGACAATATATCTTTATATTACCATTATCAAGTGAATGCAATCGAATTTTTGAATTGATCGTATGTTATGTGCTAAATAAGTTTTTGACTGTAGAACAACGAAAATGCCATAGCAAAGTGATCTTCTGGATAGTTGGATGTAGTTATTAGAGATATTTAGCCGTGATAGGATCAGCTTTGATAACGTTGATATGCTGAAGCAGGTTAAGAGGCTTGACAAACGGTCAACGTTTAAGCGTGCAGTTTTCATATGATATGAATTTTGTCAAATTCAAAACTAAATTGCTGCTGTCACAGCAGTACTTAGAATGTTGTTTATTATTGTCATTAGCTGTTGCTGTTAGTTCTGGCTGTTTTATTTATTCGTATTCGAATTTGATAGTTGGTAATGTTATCATCAATGCTATTTTTATGCTGGTATTAAGTTGTTGTTGCAGATTCGAACAACATTACAAACCATTTATGAGAATAATGTCAAACGTTTCGCAGATGGTCGAATGGGAGCAGTGAATGCAATGACGTGAGTGATTGCTTGTTTTGAAAGATTGAATAATCGAGAATAATAAGTTCGAATGCAAACATATTTGTGAATGTATGCGAGAGATGACGCGTTCAGAATGGCTTCATCGGAAAGAATCACCTGCGGAATGCTGATAACGCACTGTTTGATTACGATCGATGTGGTATTTCATTGACTCTAGAATTATGCGTCGTTTAACTTCCTTTTGACGTGCGTAAATATGAGTGTGAAAGAATAAATTCTCTGAAGGAATGCTTTTATACGGTAATGACATAAGGTAAGGAAATGTTAACGTAAGCAATGCCTCGAATATACGGTAGCTTGCAGAGCATCGGGTGACGTTGATCGAACGAGCGTACAGAGTGAGGAAGTTTGGGGAGGAGTCGTTTACGCACTTGCATCTTTGTATATTATAACGGTAGTTGCTTGATTATTCATCATTGCTAATTGATTTGCATAACTTTTACTCTTCTGTTCAAATCAATTATCCCTCTGGATTGGCCAGACTATCAAACGTTTGTAACGTTGCTGGCCACAATGCTCACGTTTCCGTGCACNGAATAATTAACTAGTAGCCATGAATATTTTGCATAATTAATCGTAGCCAAATATCAATCCAATAAATAATCATAACTCTAGTAATAAAAATATTCCGCCGATTACTCGCAGCGATTGACAAAACAACCACTCGACGTCCAAGTAACAATATTAACAAGTAATCAAATCAATTATGGTTTTTTTAAATCAAATTTGACAGTTTCAAAATTTTTAGGGGCAAAACGAGCCAGGCTTTAGAACAGCTGAAGGTTGGTATCGTAGTTGTTGGGAGCGGTTCGGTTTACAATACCAGACACCCGAAGCGATTACTGCATCGCCTGGTTATTATCGTGCGATTGGTTATATGCGACCGCTTTCTGTTTGGGCTTTGCAGAGTGCTTTGGATGTGAAGACTAAAGCGCAGCCTGCGATCAGCAGTAAACTGCAAAATCACACATCTTAAATTAGAGCATTCTTAGAGCCTGAACGTGAGCCTCAGTGTAAGCCTAAGCTTGACTTAAGCAAATGAAGGAAAATTGTACGATCCGAGTGATTTGTGTACGCTCTGGACGCGCTATAAATGTATTATCACCCTATTTTCGGAAGGAAGCAAATCCAGAAACTCATCGCAGTTGTGTTAGTGAAGCTTCAACTGAATTGTTCGGAAATTGCGTGAGTTTGATCAGTTTGCTTAATCACTGTCGAATCAGCCAGCAGAATGGAAAGAATGTGATGAAACTGTGCAAAGACGTTTCGTTTCCTTATCCTTCTACGAAACCACAAATTTATTCTCGACATAACGTTGACATGAACCGATTGTGAGTAAATCCGATTCACTGCCTTGTTGATCAAATTGCAGTTTGTTGATCTATAGTACAACTTCGCTCGGAAAATCTTCATAAGAAATCAGTTATTGAACCCGTATTCGGAAAGAATAAATTGTTTTGCTTGATTATGCATTATGTTATTGCGCAATCTTATTCAAGTCATGCCGTTGAATATATTGTAGTCGTTGCTTTTCGATGAAAGACTTTATAAAAGTACGCTGCTATTCGATGTTGTGCTAGTTGGTGTGCTCTTGCTATAGATCAGTTTCATATTCTGTGATTGTGTTTTGCTATTATTCACTATAATAAGGATGTGTGATTAATTGTTCAATGTAACCACACTAACAACAGTCATCACTTCATTACATTTCATTTTTTTTGATCGGCAACTCTGCCTGTCAGCAGTGTTCAGGATGAAGCCTAAGAGAGATGCCGAAAATTTCGTCTATTTTCAACGTTCCTATAAAGTAATACATTTACAGCGAATAAATGACAGGAGATGACAATAAATGACAGGAGATGACATCATATGTGTCAAGTTAGTACATACCTAAATTTGATGAATAGTGCTATGAAAATTTTCAAGTGAAGATAATCTGATAAACGAAATAATCACAACGCGATCATGGGAAATGGAAAGAGATACATACTGTCCGTGGCAATCAATAAAAATAATTGCTGCTGTGTAATTGAGATCAGTACCTAAAAATGACACGAGAAAGTCAACCGAAGAATGGGGAACTATTAAATTAAGGAAATCGAGTCCTTCAGATGACCTGTGGCAGGAAAGTTGAGAATATGCTATTTTTCCTCGTTCCATGTGAGCATGAAAGTAGAATTGCAAAAATAAATCATCGAGACTTTATACTTTACACTGTCATTAGAATGGATGTCTTATTTACGCTCTACAAAAATTGTGCGTTCGTTCGTCGTTTGTTCTCTGTAGGATAGCGCTTTGAATCACTTAACCCATCGAATAGCAGAAGTTGCAAATACACGCTTATCAAGCGATCCTCCAATGAATCATTTAAAAAACAGTGCTTATTAGACTTTAGCTTGATGTACACATCTAGAATTGTGGTGGATGAAAGTGCTGCGATTGTTCGGAACAACGATTTTGAGAAGTTGATAACGATTTCGAGAGTGTTGTCTTAGACCAGTGGTCACCACGCTCGGTTGCTCCATTACTCCCTTCGATGGTCTGGCAGGTCATCATTGCCCCACTTCCCCTCCGGCTACAATAATACTATTTCTGTGCATAACGTCAGCACCAACTTCCCAACCACTTCTACTATTCCTGACATTCCCAAATTAGCCAAAAAATGGGTAATTCCCCCCCCCTCCCCCTCTGTGTAGACCCCTGCCTTAGACAATGAAATTAGCCTAGGACAGATCAAATGAAGAAATGGACTCGAGAAACGAGATATATGGTGTGAACCGTTCTGGCGAACCATGCCGTAAAAACGGTCCATGAATAGACTGAACGATTGCACGGTAACTTGATAAACTGTCCAAAAGTAAATAGCCGTAGAGTAGTCTGACATGAGACAGAAATACAGAACATGCAACTAGTGTTCGTCAGGGAATGGGGTCCTCAGCGGGAACCTCATTCCTCGACCATTCCCCGACAATTTTTCCCCCGACTTTTTGCTCGGGAACCCCCCGTCCACTTTGCTCCCCGACGAGGTCCTTCCCGCGACCAGAAAGTTACTCCCTGACGAATACTAGCTGCAACGTAACGAAAGTATATAAAACTGGCTTTATGTCGACCAGCGATCATGATGGCCTATCGGTTAGAGTCAAAAACAACTAAAGGTGATATGAGTTGGATCAGGTGAAGTCTTGGATTTGGATTGTTGCAGATGCAGTAATGAGAGTCTTATCGTTAGATTTTTTGGAGTGTTGATAGTCCCCTCTAGAGAAAAGTGAAGGGAGTGCAGAATGAAGAATGGCTTTGGCCGATCAAACATTCATCAACATCCTGACGCCTTTTCTTCGTAGTCGACATTGGCATGCGACCGGAATCTGAAAGTGGTTCAGTTTGAAGAGTTCCATCAAAGCAGTTGCGAGTAGGAATAGCTGCAGCGTTTCGGATGTTCAATGATAATCGGTACCCGTTTTCAACAATTATTTGAGTACATATGCAACTGCTGCATCAATGAAACCAACTGGCTCATAAGCCAAAAGTGGTAGTTCGTTACTGGAACTGGAAAAGGCTCATCGGTCAGTGAGTTTCAGTGATTTCTGAGATTTTGGTAGCTGCTCAGTGAGAGCTGGAAAGGTTTCTTTGGTAGCTACCGACTGAAACTGAAAACGACTGAATTTCGAAGACCATTGCTGCGGGGTTCGGTGGATGGGTGCACAGAAAGATTTGTCGGTCGGTTAGAGCGATGTGAATAAGATGTGCTAAACGGGTAGCGACTTTTACGATCATATGCACATATGCAGTTTTGAATGCAATAAGCTATGTTGTTATTGTAGACATATTTGGGTGCTGGAGAGAGATGAGTGGATTAATTA